GGATTCTCATTGTGCTCCTCTAGAGGATTACTGGTATTTGGTGGGGATATGTTATTTTGGTTTTTCATGTTATTATTTTTTCTCTGTGATTTTGACATGTGAATTTCTTTTGTAGTTTCTGACTCTTGTGTGATACTCGGGCCTTCAAGTTTAGTTCTGCTTCTTTTATTTTTGAGCTTTATGTGTCTTTGTGGTTTACTTTTTGGGTATGAAGAGTTGGTTTGTCTAAGCTTCTGGTTCTCTCTTTTGATTTTATATTGTCGAGGCCGGATTGTTTTTGTCTTCAGGAGTTCCGCAGTGGCCCAACTCCAATGTGGATCAGAAGTTTTCAGACTTTCTCCTTAGGTCTGGAATCTTCTAAGAATGCTTTTGGCCTCAGGAACTTGGGTGTTGGACTGACCTGAGACCCTGGCCGTGGCCACGCCCCACAGGGATGCAAAGGCAGATGGGGAGGGAAGAAGCCCCAAGATTTCCCAGGGAGTGGATTGAGTAGCTGGGTTGTACTGGATGCAAAGGATCAGGGAGAGTAAAGGTAGGCCTCGGAGCCCCAGGAAGAGGCTGTCAGCCCCAGAAAGAAGCTGGCGGGTGTTGCAGGACCAGGGAAGTAGAGGGAGGTGAGGGAGGGGCCAGGACCAGAAGCGGTGCTCCTGGGGCCCAAGAAAGGCATTGAGTCGGTCTGGGTGAGAAGGGTCAGGAAGCAGTATTTGTTCCCCAGGTGTCTGGGGCCCCAAGACTAGGAATGGCGCAGGGCCCAAACTGGGAGTATAGACCGGCAGGGGGGATGGAAGGGTGAATGTGGCTTAGGGAGTCCAGGCGCGGAGGGCTGCGCTATAGACTTATCCCAAGAGGTCTGAGGATAGTAGTGCAGGCTAGGATAGTTAGCCGGTGGTGCAGGCCCAGGGAAACAGAGAGAGGTGAGGGCGGGGCCAGGACCAGAAGCGCTGCTCCTGGGGCCCAAGAACGGGACTGAGTTGTCTGGGTGAGAGGGATCAGGAAGCAGTATTGGTTCCCCAAGTGTCTGGGGCCCCAAGACTAGGAATGGCGCAGGGCCCAAACTAGGAGTATAGAACGGTGGGCGGAATTACTGAAAGTTCTTTCAGATAGATTTTTTCCCCCTCTGCATTTCCTGTGCTGTGCTATTATGCTAAGCACATGCTTTGTCTTCCTTGAGTGGTCTATACTGTACCCTGGATAGCATGGGTAGTTGCCCTTCAAGGAAAATGGAACTCTCCTCAGTACAGCCCTCTCAGCCATCACTCCCATGGTAGCCAGCTTTGCTATAGTAACAACCAATCCAAACACTCTGGGACTCTCAACAAACATCAACTCTTCACCTGTATTACATGCTGGTGGCTTCAGTTGGGGATTTAGTTCAGTGGTAGAGCACTTATCTAGCAAGCATAAGGCCCTGGGTTTAGTTCTCAGCTCTTGGGGGGGAAAAAAAAGACATGTTAGTGGCTTCAGAGCATCTATTGAAGCTGTCTTCTGTGCATCTTTGCAGCCCAGGCTGAAGGAGCATCTCTGATTTTGTGTCTAGTATTCTCATGGCAGAAAGAAAAATATGGGAGTTTATGTTACATTTACATCTTATCTGTCTCACAAGTCATTGACTACAGCAAGTCATATGGTCCACTCACCTCTTTTTTCAGCCATTCATTCCAGGCTGCAGTTCTTAAAGGTGGTGTGACATAAGCCACAGGTGGTGCCTCACCAAGATCTAGCTCCTTTGAGAGAGATATGGAGGCTTTGCCTATTAGGGAAGCCCCTATCCATAATGCTGCTTCTCCTGACCACAAGAGGAACTCACTTGTAGACTAGGCTGACCTCAAACTCACAGAGATCTGCCTGCCTCTGCCTCTGCCTCTGCTTCCCAAGTGCAGGGATTAAAGGCGTGCACCACCACTCCTGGCTCCATCCTGCCTTCTAATGTTCAGATAATTCTGAATGGGTAAGTCTACACATAATAGATCTCATTTCATTTTCTTTCTTTCTTTCTTTGCATATGTATGTGGGTGTGGATACTCATGTGTCACAGCGTGCATGTGGGAGTTCTCTCTACCATGTGGGTCCTAGGGATCAAACTCAGGCCATCAGGCTCTGTGGCAAGTGCCTTAACCCACTGAGCCATCTCTTTGGCCCCTTATTTCATATTTTCATATTCTTTTTTTTTTTTTTTGGTTTTTTTTAGAGACAGGGTCTCCTTGTAGACCCATCTGGCCTGCAATTTGCTTTATAGACCAGGCTGGCCTTGAACTCACAGAGATCCGCCTGCTTCTGCCTCCCCAGTCTCTCTAGTGCTGGGATTAAAGGCATGTGCCCACCACACCTGGTTTATTTTATATTCTCTTTTTTCTTTTCTTTTTTTTTTTTTGGTCTTTTTGAGACAGGGTCTCCCTGTAGCCCCAGATGTCCTGGAACTCACTATGGAGACCAGGCTGGCCTCGAACTCACAAAGATCCGCCTGCCTCTGCCTCCCAAATGCTGGGATTAAAGGCATGCACCACCATGCCTGGCATATTTCATATTCTTAACAAGCCTAGGTAGACGCTAATCATCATTCCCAAGTAATAAGTAAGGAAGACAAAGTTGTTAGCATGGAGGATGCTGACATGTCTCCAGGTTATGTGGTTTTTGAATTGCAATGTGGATTACTGGCTTTATGGACATTAGAAATGGAGTACTGTACAGGTTCTGAATTAATAAACAGGAAGATTTGGTAATACATGCAGCTATGCTTATGAAATAATGTTAAGTGCAAAAGATGGATTTCAGAAATATATGTACTCTATGGGTACAACTATGTAAAGTTGTAGACATATTAACTTGAAAAGCAGTGAAAAATTAAAGTCTTCAAGGTAGTAGAGTTTAATTTTTTGTGTGATTGGTTTATTTTTTCTTTTTTTGAGATAGGGTTTTACTCTGTTGCCTAGGTTGGCCTCAAACTTGTGATTATCTTGCCTCTGCTGCTCAAGTTCTGTGAGGTGTGTGCCTCCATACCCAGATTAATAAATACATTTTTAAACGTTTAGTGTGTGTGTGTGCACATGCATCGGCACACATTCCAACAGTACATGTCTGGAGGTCAGAGGACAACTTGGTGGAGTTTGTTCTCTTTCCACCTTTATGTAGAATCTGGTGATTGAAATCAGGTTACTAGACTTGCCTGACTTACCTTTACCACCTGAGCCATCTTGCCAGCCCAATAAATACCTTTTGTTGTTGTTATGTTTGTTGGCATTTTGTTTTACAGTCTCCCTGTAGTCTCAGCTGTCCTAGGACTCACTATGTAGACCAGGCTGGCCTCTATCTCATAGAAATCTGCCTTCTGAGTGCTGGTATTAAAGGTGTGCACTACCACATCCAGCAATAAATTAATTTTTAAGTGATAGAATTTTAGCTCTGAGCAGTCAAGAGATTGAAAGAGATTGAGACCATAATCCCAATTCTTCATTTTCTAACTGTAACAGTTCTTATGTATCATTCTTTCTACTTCCATATTAGCACTTTAAGGACTATTTTTTATATATTCTGTGATTATATAGAAACAGTGCCACATGCTACATTATTTTATTTACCTTGACACAAGGCACATACCAATATGTAATAAGAAAATTAGAAACTCAGTTTTTATAGCTGTTATCAGTTGTTCTTGAGGGGTGTGGCAATTTCATAGTCAGAGGCCAACTCTTCTTCCTTTGTCTCTGCAGCCTTCGTTTCATCAAAATGATAACATTCGAGGAACCCGCCACCATGGGCTGGTGGAGAGGCCAGCCCGGAACCGCTTCCACCCCCTCCACCGAAGGTCTGGGGACAAGCCAGGGAGACAAATATCCTTTTTCACTGTCTGAGGGGAGTAAGTTTTGAAATTGCCAAGGATTTATCTCGCTTTAGTTCTCTGGTGGCTTCAAAAGCTTCATCTGATCTGGCAGTAAAAGTAAATGAGTTCAAACAAGAAATATCGGTACAGCCAGAACTGGAGAGACCATTGTAGGGGTTTATGAAAAATTGATAAAGTTCCGTTGAATAACATAACTGAATGTGTAATTCAGTAGAGTTAAACCTGACTTTGAGTCAAGTTAGAGAAATTTAGTCTGTCTAACAAAAACGGACAAACAAAAGCCAGGCATGGTGGCGCACGCCTTTAATCCCAGCAGTCAGGAAGGAGAGGCAGATCTCTGTGAGATCAAGGCCAGTCTGGTCTACATAGTGAGTTCCAGGCCAACCGGGGTTACACGGAGACCCTTTCTCAGAGAGAAAAAAAAAAAAAAGGACAGACAAATTGATTATTTACTTGTATTTATGTTGACCTGATATCCACCTGCTTTTGGAATGTAAAGAAACAATCTCATAAGGTTATTTGTAGTGTTTCAAACTCAATAAATGACAAGTAAAATGTAAACTTGATATTTAGGAAAATTTTTACACAGTGCTGTGTACTTGACACGTCTTTGTTGCTAAGTAGCCATAAAGCAAAGGAGCCAGTAAATTGATCTGATAGTTTTATTTAAGCAGTATTAGGGGTGGAGGGGCAGGCTGGTAGTGGCATTCTGTCGTGGGGCCAGCACAGTTTTGAGGGCTGTGGACAGACAGAACTGAGAACTGGCAGGATAGACACATTGGATGCGGGGGGGTCTTTTCTCACTTCACTCTTCTCAGACGGGCACGGGTAGAGGAAGAAGGAGCAGAGAGGTGTGGCAGGTCTCCCTTCAGAGAACTCAGAGAACTGAATTCCTGGCAGTGATGTTAGAGTTGGCTTCACAAGCCTAGAAACCAGGAAGTGGGGGAGGGCACTGGTGTTTACTGAGCACCTACCTATGCCAGGCACTGTGATGGGCAATTTAGTCTTCAGAACAAAATGAGTTGTTTACTTTTTAACCCCCATTTTCCCATGAGAAAACTGGATATCAGAGTTACTTGCCCAGGATTCCACTGCTGTGACTCACGTAGCCTTGGCTTGTCTGCTCAGTGGCAATGAGGACCATATACAAGACGGAGCCCATGAGAAGTTGTGGGGGTGCACAGAGGAAAGCCCAACTTTTCTTGTCTTCACGGGCCCTTGAGTTTTAATCTATTTGGGAGGCGAGGATAATGATCCTGGGGAATGCTGATTTCTCCCAGCTCTCTGGGCCAGACACACCACATTTGGTCCACAAAGATACTGACTTCTAGCTTTGTACAGTATGTGGCCATTGTCAGGGAAAATAAGACAAATGATTTAAAGAATTCCTTTCTGGAATATAAATAACTTTACACAGAATGCAAAATGTAGACAGGGAGTAGCACACTAGACAGTTGTTCAAATTGCTTGTAATTTTCAAGCAAAAGATTTAATGTTTCTTTTCTTGATTTAACAGCACAGAGGCTGGATATAGCTCAGTGGTAGAGTGCTTACCTAGCATTCTCACGGCTTTGGGTTCAAGAAAAAGTTTTTTGGTAGTGGTGGTGTGGTTCAGTGGTAGAGAGCCTAGCTTGTATAAGACCCTGGGTTCAATTCCCAGCATGAAAGAAAGGAAGGAGGAAAAAGGAAGGGAGGAAAGGAGGGGGAGGTGGAAGAAAGAAAGAAAGGAGAGAAAGAGAGAGGGAGAAGGAAGAGGAGGAGAGGGGTTGGAAGAGAAGGAAAAAGGAAAGGAGGATAGGATAAACTAGTTCCAGGCCAGTCTTTGTCTCAATAAAGAAATAAATAACCCTCCTCCCAAAAAACCTGAGCCCAATATAGTATATTTTAATTTTTCTAGTTTTTTTCCTTTGTTTTGTGTTGGGGATTGAACCTAGGGCCTCAGGTATGCCAGGCAAGTACTGTATCACCGAGCTGCTTCCCCAGTCCTCAATTCCCTCTTTCTCTCATTGGTGCTTTCTATATGTCATGCAATGCATTTCTCTATATGTATGTATATGTAGCTATCTCAGATACTTTTTGAAGCAAGTATAGTACCAGTATATTTGTATATGCATAACCTTATCAACCAAAGGAATAGACCAATAAGGGGGTTTGAAAAAAGAGAAAGAGGAAAATGTTCCTTTAAAGACCATTTATGGCTCTGGACTGAATAAAAAGAAGAAAGTTACATGAACACCAACATTGATCTCTCTGCTTCCTGATTTCGGAGACAATTTGAACAGAAACCTCATACTTATAAACCATCACTTCTCTGCTATGCCTATACTCTCAAACTGTGAGCCAAAATAAAACCTTCCTTCCTTTAAAAAAAAAACAAAACACCATTTATTAAATACCTGTTAGTGGTCTGGGCATGGTGGCACACTTTAATCCCACCACTCAAGAGGCAGAGTCATGTAATCTCTGTGAGTCTGAGGCCAGTCTGGTCTACATAGTGAGTTCCAGACCCACCTGGGCTACGTAGTGAGACTCTGTCATAAAACAACAACAAAGGGGGTTAGAAAGATGACTCCACAGGTAAGAGCACTGTCTGCTCTTGCAGAAGACCCAGGTTCAATTCCCAGCACCCACTTAGCGGCTAACAACAATCCTAATTCCAGTTCCAGGGAATCGGATGCCCTCTTCTGACTTCTGTGGGCACTACACGACATGGGTGCACTTACATACATACAGACATTACACTCATATACATTAAAAAATGAAAATAATAAAATATTAAAAAAACAATAAGCTAGGTGTGGTAGCACACACCTTTTATCCCAGCACTTGGGAGGTAGAGGTAGGTGAATCTCTGTGAGTTCAAGGCCATCCTGGTCTACATAGTGAGTTCCAGGACAGCTGGAGCTACAGGGAGACCCTGTCTCAAAAAAAGACAAAACAATAACAAAATCTACTAGTGACCAGTCACCATTTTGTAGACATAACAGTGATATACTATGGTCCCTGTCCTCAAGTTGAATCTAATCAGTGGGAGGGAGCTAAGCCAGAAGGTGTTCTTAGCACAGTGTAGTGTCTGAAACCGAATTGGTTGGGAATGGTGTGAGCACCCATGAGGAACAGTTAAATCAGTCCAGGGGATAGAGAAGGCATTGTGGAGGGAGATTCAGGCTTGAAGGTTAAGTAAAAAGTAAGGGGATAGTACATCCATTTATTAAACACATATTCATGGAGACCCTTGCCTGAATCAGGCAATATCTTAAGCATTGGGGACAAAGTGGTAAATGAGATATCATCCCTGCCTGCTTGAGTTTATACCTCTTTGGGAGATGACACAGGGCAGCAAAGAGGCCAGAGTGTATGTGGAGGTGGAGTGACCAGATGGTAATGTATAAAAGAGTAGCAGTTCAGAGGAACCCTGTCTCTTTTTAGGTAGTACATCCTAGGGGATAGCCTGATTCTGAATAGGCTTGTGGGAGCATCAGCAAAGCTTGTCAAGTCCCCAAAGGAAAAAGTAGTGAATACACAGAGTTGTTCTCCAGGGAGTACAAATCTGATTCACTGATCATGAGCAGTTTATCTGTGGTTTCCTCCTAAGTTCCTAATTGGTATCCTAGGCCTGGACACCTGCTGATGCAGAGAAAGTTCATTAGCCTACTAATGAACCAGAGAGACCCTTTGAGGAGTCAAGAGACTGTGAGCATCAAGTAAAAATTGAAAGTGGGTCGATTTTACATCTTAGGTGTTTTGGTTTTTTTTTTTTGTCGGGCGGTGGCGGGGGGGGGGGTTGGTCTTTTTGAGACAGGGTCTCCCTATAGCCCCAGCTGGCCTGGAACTCACTATGTAGACCAGGCTGGCCTCGAACTCAGAGATCCATCTGCTTCTGCCTCCTGAGTGCTGGGTCCTTCTTTTCTTTCTTGGCCTGTATTCTGTTGGTTGTGAAATAACTCATTTTAAACTGTTGCCTTTCATACTTGTCTTTTATCTTTCTAATGAAATTTTGTCATTTTGAATCTTTGTTGATATAAACAGAAAAATAATGTAATCCAAATTCTCTTTTTTTGATTGTTTCTTGGCTTGGGTGTTATTTTAGGATGAGCAGACTAGTTAGGTCAGGGTTCAGTCCACGGATATGGTGGACACAAATAAAATGAACATTGTTTAACAAATACTCCAGGTTCCTCCCAGAGTGGGCAGCCATGACAAGCAGGGCTCAGGCACAGGAGATTCTTTTTGAAGTGGGTGGCTGTACTATAGAGATGGCAAAGGCAGTGGGCTGTGCTGGTGGTATGTATGGCTTGCACAAGGCCAGGGCAGGACCGCAGTGATACCCTGGCCCACCACGGCCACCTGCAGGCAATGTAGAAATACCACAAAGGCTGTTTCTGGCCAGAGGAACTCAGTCTCAAGGCTTCTACCTTTTTGCAGCAGTCCATGCCTTTAGCAGCCCTTTTCCCTCCTCACTTCTCAACAGCAGCATACTTGCTGCATCCCACACACATTTTGTTGAGTTTCTGAAATAGTCCCATAAATTAACAGCAAATAAATATTTTCTGATCTGTGGGTAATGCATTAAAAAAGAGGACATACTAAAGAATAATAGAAAATGACATTTTCTAAGAGATATTTATTTTGAAAGGAAAAAAAAATGTTTAGAAAGTTTCCCATCAGAGTCAAGAGTGCTGCTGGCTTGAGTAGTCTTGTGCCTGAGGACCTGCCACAGTTTGGAACCACTCCCCTCGGCAGTCTGCCTTGCTTTGATTTATTTCATCACAACAGGGTGGAAATTTCAGAGCTGTTAAATCTGAGGAACACTATGCTCTCTGTCTGCTGTCAGAGCCTTGTGGTACATAGTAGGGCTCCAAGAAACTCTAGAGTTACAAAACTTCCTATCTTTACAGGGTTTCCAAAACCTATGTAATCACAAAATTCAGTTTTTATCTGACACTCATATCACATCAGAGGACAGATAGGAAGTGTTAAGAGTTGTTG